TATTATTAGTATTTATTTTCCATATTTTATTTTTATTTCAAATTTGGTAAGTAATTCGGATGTAATGCTCAGGCAAATCTTCTCTTATTTATTTTTCTCCATAACATATATTTTTTCAGATTCTTTTGATGACTTTTTATTTTTTTTCGTTTTTTTTGGGGGGGGGTCCGCGTTCGGCCTGAACGGCCGAGCGCATCCCCAAGGGGTCCCATACGTCCGGGCGTTCGGGTTCGGATTGTCCACGGGTCCCCAAGGAATATATATATATTCAAAAAAATATCAGACCGTATATACAGATACCGGATTGTCCACGGGTCACTTGGCCGGCGACTGAAAAAAAATAAAAAAGGAATATAAATAATATTGTATTTCTTTTCTCCACTTTTGCACCATAATTACGGTAAAGAATTTCGATGACACCCCGAGACAAAAGTTATTCACTTGTTGTTTATGCAAAAAAGAATATAATTTTGTTTATTTTGTTCATATTTTTTATTTTGTTTACCCCTCTTTCACCTGCCCTCATTCTTGCACATCCGGACCGTCCGGGAAATAAGGATGACCCCGACGGCAAGCTTATATACAAATATGTATATATATATGTATATATATATGTATATAAAGATACATATATGACTTCAAAATTTTTAGGCATGCACAACATATCATAGAGGGGAAAAAAAAAAAAATCAGGAAAAAAAACTTATTGTTAGGCCCCAAAAGATTTTTTTTTGTGGGGGTCGAACGCCATCGGATTGGGATCCCAAAGGCGCCCCGAACGCCCGTACGTACGGAGGTGGGCCTGGGACCTTCGTACGTACGGGCCGGTAAGTATATATATATATATATATATATATATATATAGAGAGAGAGAGAGAGAGAGAGAGAGGGTTGCCAGGCCGAATGTACGATGGCCCCTTAGCTGACCCCCGAACGTTCGAGCGTTCGGGTCCCCGTACGGGGCCCGAGCCAAAAAGGGTTCGGACCCCGCAAAAACTTATTTTGGCACCTAAATATTATTAGTTTTTTCTGAAATTGTTTTTGTGAGTTCTTTGTGATGTAAGGTATCTCCCTGTAAATTTTGAAGCCATTCTGTTCAGCCAAAACAATATGAAAAATCGGCAAAGATGGTGGTGTCAAAACA